TACTTACATTAGCATAGAGTGGGGAAAAATCATCTAACACAAAGCCTATTTTATAATAAAGTGTTGAACATCTCAGGTAACTTACTGAATACTCTTGAAAATGAAAACCAGAATGGTCGTATGGGTACAGGCTGGTTCTGAGTGCATGGACTGCCTACCCTCATGATCACGTGGCTGACCGGGAGCTGTGGTAGCCACTGCCCAGCATCACGAGAGGTTCGTTCAGCCCACTGTTGCCTGGGATAGCATCAGATTCAAATTTGAAGCTCGGCTTCTACTGAATGGGTGTCTCTTTCGTATCGTCATAGTCAAAAAATTGGAAGTTAAACCACAGTAAGTCAGGAGACTGTTGTCCTAAGGGGTATAAATTTTAATTTGTCAGCTGATTTATCATTTTATTTTCAAAAATCATATGTTCCATACATCCTGGAAGAATAACTTTTAGTGGCTATGTGGACCCATTTGCTTTTTTGCCACCTAATATATTGCTAAATAGATGACTACAAGGCTCTTTCATTAATAGTAGTTGACAACCTAGAAACTATTGCTCAATGTACGTATTTTTCTTTTCTTATTTTTAAGATTTTATTTATTTATTTGACAGAGAGAGACACAGTGAGAGAAGGAACACAAGCAGGGGGAGTGGGAGAGGAAGAAGCAGGCTTCCCATGGAGCAGGGAGCCCGATGCGGGGCTCGATCCCAGGACCCTGGGATCATGACCTGAGCCGAAGGCAGATGCTTAATGACTGAGCCACCCAGGTGCGCCAAGCTTTGCATATTTAATTATCCCATTTAAATCGTCTTCATATTTAAGGTCCTGCACCTACATTTTCCTTTTTATAATGCAGTTCAAATAAAATCAAAGTTATTAGTCAGCATTGTTCTCAATATTATTGTGTTTACACTTCCGATCCAGCTGTTAAACTTGACATACCTCTATATGTCTCACATCATCTGCTTTCTTCTAGTGATGATAAAACAACCCAATATGAGAGCAATGTATACCAGTTCAATTAAAATGTTACAATAGTTACAAACTGGAAAAAAAAGTCAGATCATTTCTTTTCCAAAAACTACCCTGCACATTCATAAATGATACTCAGTTGAGTCTTGACAATTTGCTGATCCAGATAAAACACTGCAGTTCTTCACAACTAACTGTGCTTTCTATTAATATACAATTAAACTGTACACTGTTAACATCCCAATATAATGTTGATCGAATTAACCATCTTATATCAGAAAGTTTAATGAGATCCCCAAAGCCAGCTACATAATTTGCAGGGCCCAGGGCAAAATGAAAATGTGGCACCTTGCCTCAACGTGGGTAAGTCAATTCCCCCTTTCCAAGAGCCCAAACACCTCAACCCACCACCTCAACCCATGTGGGACAGGTGACCGCAGGTGGAGTGTGACAACTGTCATGGGACAGGAGCAGAAATGGGGAAGCCAAGTGACCCAGAGCACCAAGGAGCAGTAGGGAGTGGGTGACAGAGAAACTGTCTCAGGGAAGCAGGGAGGGAATGGGAGGCAGTAACGTACCCGAGCCCCGGCTCCGAGCCCCCAGTGCATGCTCCATTGTCCTATCTGACTTCATGTTCAAAACACAAATTCACAAAGACAAAACTAGGCATTTCAAGATAGTGACCACAGAGCCTTAAATTCCCAACATGGGATCCTTTTACATGGGAGTCCCTGAACAACCCTACTGGTTGCACACCAGGAAGCCAGCCCTGGAGTTGCTAGTGAGTAAATGAGCAAATAACCCATTTCCGGCCAGCAAGTGCTCCCATCACACAGCCAGTCCTCATGCAGCCAGTCATGATAGCGACAGGGTTTCTCACAGGGTGCAGAATATCTGATGCTGTCTCATAGACTATGCTTTTTCCTTCTCTCTGGTCCTGACCCACATGTCATGTCTAAGTGCTTATCTCTTTCAAGGCTCATCTTCCTGAGATGGGAAGGGTCAGGAAGGCAGCCTGGATGGCAGCAAGAATGGGAGAGCAGTCAGACAACCCTGGCTGGCCCCTCTCACATTCCCTGCCTTGGGTACCTCCCTTCCTCTCTCTGGGCCTCTGCCTCCGTATTATGAAATTCCTCGTGTCATAATTTTGGCTTCCTTATTATTAATTACCAGTGGAAGGGTTAAACTCGGTGACCTTCCAGCTCTGTTTCCAGCAGGTGACCTCGAGGGAAGGGTTAGACTCGGTGACCTTCCAGCTCTGTTTCCAGCAGGTGACCTCGAGGGAAGGGTTAGACTCGGTGACCTTCCAGCTCTGTTTCTGGAAGGAGACAACACAAATGGGTGTTTGGCAAAAGGCTTTTGACCTCTTGACTGTTTTGTTTTCATCTTTATTGGACTTGTTGTAATCAATATACTTTGATTCATCAAAGCCAAATCTGAGCTGCTTGGTGTGTGTTGTTGCTGCATAAAAGCCAAAAGAAAAGAGACGTGAGTAATACGGATGTGTGTAGGCAAAGGGAACCCTCGTTTATTTAAGGCCTAGCAGCAGATGGGTTAATTCCATGACCCCAGATTTTAGAAGAGCAGTAATTAGTACCTGAGACGAGCTCTTTTATCTAAGGTGCTCAAAGGGCTTTGTGGTCATTAACCCATTAATTCCCCATGCCTCAAGCCATCAGGAGGTCAGGAAGAATCTCCGTAGAAGACAAGCATGCCAGAAGTGGAAACATCACCACAGTGAGGAGTGGCCATGAGTAACTAGCTGGAAGGAAGGAGGAGGGGGAAGGGGTCACCAGAACAGTTCTCTTGGAAGAATTAAATGGAAAATCCTCTGCTGTTCTACAGATAGCAGTTTAACCACTCACTAGGCTCTTTGAGTGATTTCTCATGGATGTCACATTTCATCATCTATTTGGAAAATCTCTTTACCCTTAATGTAAACCTTAGATTAGCTTTTACAGCTTCTGACAAACCACAATTATGCCTAAAGCAAGTAAAGGAGAGGACTCTCCTCCCTAAAATATTCTTCCCTCAAAGGGGAAAAAAATGGCTCTTTAAAGTGGAGGAGTCTCTAAAGATAGAACACCACTTCAGAATAAATTTGTCTGGGGTTTGTTAAGGTCCTGACTTATTTGCAGGTGGTTTCCATTAAAAAGTGTCTGTTGGAAAACCACACTGCTAAAACATACCTTCACAAGGCCTGGAATTCAGTCTTTAGACTCCTTCTTTCAACTGAACAGTCCACCCATCACCTAGGAGGTGCTCCCCTGGGGACCAGGTGCTATGAGGGCATAAAATGTGGAACCTGACCCTCCCCCCACAAGCAGCTATAAATCGAATCAAGGGGATGAGGCTAATACAAATAAAATAGATTAGTAAATTTACTACTTATTACTATTTTAATTCATTTATTACTTTATTAAAAATTGATTGATGCAAATAAAATGGGCAGAAAATATGGTTTCCATAATTGTGAACAGCACAGACCCAACATGTGGTGGAGGTGGTGGTAGGAGGTAATCGGTGAGGGCTGCAGAGATCAGGGGAGGCAGGAGAGCTCACAGAGGAGATAAGAGCTAAATCTTAGAAGTAGGGGAAGTATTTGGTTAGGAAACGGGATCAGTGAGAATAAAGCAAAAGGCAATTCAGGCCATGGACAACATCTAAGAGAAGGTAAGCAGATGGCAACTTCATTTCTTTATGATGCAGTAGGAAAACCAACCTGGATAAACCATAGGGCCAGGAGACCTGAAAGAAATATGTTGGATGAGAAAGATAAGGCCAGATCACAGGGGTGACTTGAAACCAGACTAACAGGTATTGGTTTGGGGTATCTGGAAGTCTTCTGTCAAAATGCAAATATCCAGGAAAAAAACCAAGGAGTAAATTAGGGTGGGGAGTGTGGGGGTGCAGTCAATATAGGCTGAACACGACTATGTGCTCTATTATACGCTATAGCAGGGGAAACAGAATTTGTTGTACCAATATCAGCTGGTAAATTCAACTGTGAGTTCTATCTTGGGCCCTGGGAAGGATGCCCCAATGGAATGAAACCCAGAACAAGTGCGTTCTGACAGGGATGAGGAGAGGAAGGATAAAGGGAAATCACACCGAAGCCTTCAGCATTACCAGGAAGAGCTGGTCCAGGTAGGGGCCCACACTTGATGGGCAGCCAAAGCCTGAGAAAAGACTTCCAATGGAGAGGGAAAGGGAGTAGAAGAGAAGACAAATTTCCCCTAACTCACAATTTTGCCAATTACTGGCCCTTCTAATGCACATGACCCTTCTTTATGGCCCAGTAAAACTCTTATTCCTTTGTTGAACGGATGCTCTTTTGGCTCTCACAATCGAAAATTGAGCTGTAGGGAAGACTCCAGAGAGGGCTCTTTGGGAGTAGGTGAGAAGAAGAATGAAGTGTCCCCATGTAAGGCCAACTGAGGGCCTCTTGAGGCTTCCTAAACACAGTGGAGTCTGTGGAGAGGAAGTAGTCTTCCCTAAAGTCACCTTCAGGACCCCCTAGGGCCAAGGTGCCTCTGGTCAGCAATAGAATAGAAAATAATTGTTCTCACCAAAGAAACCTCTGTAGAAAAGTTGCTGGGAAACTGGAATAGGTGTGTCTTTCTGACCTTCCGGTTCTTTTTATAGGCCTTGCAGGACCTGAGTGAGGGCCTCCACTCCTTCCGCCCATTTGGGGAGGGATTAAAGAAGCTGAGATTGTCTCCTTCTTACTCATTGGCAGTTACTACCTCGCAGCCAGCAGAGCCTCAACTTCCAGCGTGGACACAGAGAAGGTAAGTCAGAAAGAAGGGGCCATGCCCGTAGCTCTAAACCTGGATGGCTCCAGCCATCTGGCTTGAAAATAACTGTAGAGGAATCGAGCTAGGAGTATTCAGTTGCAAGGTACTTTTTTTCCTCACAAATAGGTGGGATTTTTTCCCTAGGCAACCTCAGGGAAGACATAGATTTTGGTGCTCAACTGTTGAAAAAGTTATCTGAAGGCAGGAATAATTTTGTATAATTCTTTGATCAACAAAGAGTAGATATGTAGCAATAACATGTTGTGTTGGATTGACTTAGATTAAAAGAAGGAACAGCCATTAGAACTACAAGGAAAAATGTTCTGCCTGTCTCCTTCAGGCAGTGCGGCAGTGTCTTGAATGATCCAACGATCCATTAATGTTGACAACCTTTGTTCTGGAGCCTGATAGAACTGGAATCTCGTCGACCAGGCAAAAGTTGTCACACACCCCATTTTATGAAAAAGATTCTGCCTTGGGTTTCAAAAAGCCTTGATACAGACTGTGACATGAAAGTGGATGACATATCTGGAATCTTCAAGTGCAGAGTGTTCTGCTTTTCCCGGCAAGACGGAGCTAGGAGAGTTTTAAGGGTTTGATAGTTTGGGGCTCTTTCATATTTGGGAATGAGAGACACTATGGTGCCCACACAGGACTAGCCAACAGGCATCCCTCTGTAAGGATGTAGTCAGAAGGTTGTCTCATTTTTCTTTTGCAGGGAAACAGAAATCCATTCTCGTGAGGTCCACCCACAAGTCACCATGTATGAGGACTGTGTCAAGTCCACTGAGGACTATTACTTCGTCTGTGACAACGGGGGAGCATGGGGCATTGTTCTCGAGTCCCTGGCAATAATCGGCATAGTAGTTACAATTATACTACTCTTGGCGTTTCTCTTCCTCATGCGAAGGGTTCAAGACAGCAGCCTGTGGAATACTCTCCCCACTCAGTTGCTCTTCCTTCTGGGTGTGCTGGGACTCTTCAGCCTCGCGTTTGCCTTCATTGCTCAGTTCAATCAGCAAACTGCCCCCGTACGCTACTTTCTCTTTGGGGTTCTCTTTGCTCTCTGTTTTTCATGCCTCTTGGCTCATGCCTCCAACCTGGTGAAGCTGGTTCGGGGTAGAGTCTCCTTCTGTTGGACGACAATTCTGTGCATCGCTATTGGTGTCAGCTTGTTGCAGGTAATCATTGCCATTGAGTACGTGACTCTCATGATGACCAGGGGTATGATGTTTATGCATATGACACCCTGTCAGCTCAACGTGGACTTTGTTGTACTCCTGGTCTATGTCCTTTTCCTGATGGCCCTCACATTCTTTGTCTCCAAAGCCACTTTCTGTGGCCCATGTGAGAACTGGAAGCAACATGGAAGGCTCATCTTCGTCACTGTGCTCATCTCCATCATTATCTGGGTGGTGTGGATCTCCATGCTCCTGAGAGGCAACCCACAGCTCCAGCGGCAGCCCCAGTGGGATGACCCTGTCATCTGTATTGCCCTGGTCACCAATGCATGGGTTTTCCTGCTGCTGTACATCGTACCCGAGCTCTGCATTCTCTACAGATCGAGCAAGCAGAACTGCCCTTTACCAGGCAACACCTGCCCAGCCCCAGCCTATCAATGCAGCTTCAGAGTGGAGAACCAGGAACTCTCACGAGGTACTTTCCCAGGGGACTCGGGGAGCAGGGAGGCTCTCCTGTGGGAGAAACAGGAGAGAAATCAAGAAACAGGATGAAACAAGAGGGAGCAATAAGGGAAGGGTCACAATTTAAGTGGGTGACTTAAGCGCTCTGGCATGGAGATAAAGACACCCAGAATTAATGTTAAACTTTTATGAGAAATCGGTGCTTCCAAATACAGAGATTTGTGGGGAAGAGGCCAAGACAGAAATGAATCAAAAGCCCTAAATAAAGAGGGTGTGGCTCTGAGTGCTCACGCTGGGTAAAGAAAGGCACCCCCTATAAAGTGAGTTAACCAGCCCCAAATTAGGCTTGGACCATGCAACTGCGTAACATATGATGCTAAGTCCAGATGTTTTGGCTATCAAGGGCACAAGTCAATTCCGGCAACAGTGATTGACTTTTTTTTTTTTAATTTAAGTCTTGAAGTTAATTTGCCCAAACATCATAATAAACTGATTCATAGGACTCATTACCTCATTAACATCACAAAGCCCAATAACTTCTGGATTTCTACTTTTCAAACCATTCACTACTTGAAAGCCTTCAAGGTTTACAAAAAGTGACAGGAAGAGCCATTGAATCAGAATTCTAATAAAGGTTCAGATGTGTCATCATTAATAGAAATAAAGCAACTTACTTATGTGACATTTTCATAAAAATTTCTGGTCAGATTTTTATCGTTATTTAAGACCAAGCCACCTGACTATACTTTGCTAATGAATAAAATACATTAACCATGACAACAAAAATGCTTGGACCCTAACAACCTGGGGGAAATAGTGGCTAATTCTGGTTATCTAGAAATATGTCAAAACACATTCATTCCTTTCTGAAACATCTGGCCTATTATTCATAACCCAATATCATAGTTTTACATCAATTTTTATGTCTTAATAGGCATCTGATTCCTCACAATTTATTTCTAATGTGCAAAAATTATGTTATTTTATATATTGTATAGCACACATAATGTTCACCAGGCTCAAAAAAATTAATAGAAGCCTTCCCTTTAAGTGCATACACGTTGCTGAGCTGTAGTCTATGGCTAATTACACATTCAAATTAAATACTGTTCAGATAGATGCATCCATTAATTCTTTTCAGTGCAGTTGACAGAGAGTCGGAAATTGACGCTCTACATCCTTCCTATAACAGTTTTTCTTTGCTTGTTGATGGTTTATCATCAGATCACTAAGGTTTGTGGCAGAATTGCAGAGTCGATCCCGGAAACTACTTCTCAAAGTTCTCATCATCAGATAGGATAAAACTCCTTGTGTCTGTTTTATTGTTGTCGTATGTTTCCAGGAAAGAAAAGTCAGAGAGAAAGAGAGAGAGGAGTTCTCAGAGTTTTATAATACCCCAAACATACCAGGATTTGTAACAATCAATATTCCATACCCCCGAACACAAGTGTTTCAAGTGTTCTCAGGAATGTCTTGGTGGCAGAGCAAGGGCATGCAAAAGCACGTTTCCTGGTGCTATCCTTGTTGCTCGTGCATGGTTAGAAAACCCATTTCTGAGCAGGAAATGGCCTGCCAGTGACAGTCATTGTCAATGTAGTTAGATGTTTTACTAAAAAAAAAATCAATAATGAGTAAAGAACATACAGATCGCTCTCCAAATTGGGCAGAATAACCAGAAACTTAAACTTGGATAACAGAATCAGAACTTAAGTTACCTGGGAAAAATGCAAATATCAAAAATTAGAAGAATGGGGGCGCCTGGGTGGCTCATTCGTTAAGCATCTGTCTTGGGCTCGGGTCGTGATCCCAGCGTCCTGGGATCGAGCCCCACATCGGGCTCCCTGCTCAGCGGGAAGCCTGCTTCTCCCTCTCCCACTCCCCCTGCTTGTGTTCCCTCTCTCGCGATGTCTCTCTCTGTCAATTAAATAAATAAAATCTTTAAAAAAAAATTAGAAGAATGATAAACACTCAGTACAAAATACAGGATTACACCAAGCTCGGAAAAACATACAACACAAGATAGATAAGAGCCAGACAAGTAAGAGTGTGATAACAGGAACCTGTAAAACCCTAAGTATGTCCTGTAGGTCAAAAGCTGGCAAGAGGAAAGCAGCTTACCACTGTCTTTGTTTTCACTGGCTCAAAAAACAGTCACAGTACCGTATCAACAGACATGTGGTCCGCAAGAACAATCAGGCTGTTGTACTCGGCATTGGTCAGTCTCCAAGGAGAATACCCATTGCAGTTCTGGGATCCGCCACAGAAGTGTGGGGAACTTGGGGAGGCTAAGGGAGAACCACAAAGATAATTAAAGAGTTATAACATCCAACCGATGTGGAAAGGTTAAGACCGTGAAACAGGTGGTAGTTTGTAATGTGCCTTCGTCATAGACTATTCAAGTTCTCTCTCTAAATTCTGTACCAAAACATGACATTTTGTTCGAGTCCATGAGGCATGCATTTGTCATGTGACTCTTCTGATGAATACCGCTTGTAGTTGTGACTCCGGTCACATAATTATTTGATTTACCACTGGGTTGTGGGACCAGAATTATTCATCTGAAAGAGTAAGACAAGTGGAGTTTAACAGGGAATTTCACAAGTATGAAGACCTCTCTCGAAGAAGCTGTTGTCCTGTTGCCTTCTGTTTCCAACTAAAGACAACATGTAGAAATAACTCAACCAAAGCATGAAGGATTTAGATTAAAAGTGAAAATAAGAGTTGGTAAACACTGAAATAGATCTGCAAAGGGGATTAAGGACTCCATTTCCCTGTGAGTCTTTCAAAAGAAGATTAGGCTTCATCTCCCTGAAGTGGCTTATGGACTTAATTCCTAGATTTAAAAACATCAGGGTGGAGAATGAAAATGCATTCAGGGATGTTCCTACAGGACCCCAAACAAATAGGCATAAATATTCTTTGCCCTCTATTATAAATGCGTTCCTAGAAAGCTGTATATCGATTGCATTTTTCTATTTTTTTTTCCATTCAGTACGTGCCCTCTTTAATACCCATCACCAGGCTAACCCATCCCCCCACCCCTCTCCCCTCTAGAACCCTCAGTTTGTTTTTCAGAGTCCATCGTCTCTCATGGTTTGTCTCCCCCTCCGATTTTCCCCCCTTCATTCTTCCGCTCCTGCTATCTTCTTTTCTTTTTTTTTTTTTTAACATATAATGTATTATTTGTTCCAGAGGTACAGGTCTATGATTGATTGCACTTTTTAAAAAATCAGTTGCCTTTTTAACTGAGAATTCTAAATGCAATATAATTTGTGGAGATCTTAAATATGGAGTATCAGCCACAATTCTTTTTTTTTTTTTTTAAGATTTTATTTATTTGACAGAGAGAGACACAGTGAGAGAGGGAACACAAGCAAGGGGAGTGGGAGAGGGAGAAGCAGGCTTCCCACTGAGCAGGGAGCCCGATGCAGGGCTCGATCCCAGGACCCTGGAACCATGACCTGAGCCGAAGGCAGACGCTTAACAACTGAGCCACTCAGGTGCCCCCACAATTTTCTTTTTTTACGGAGGGAAAGCTCCTGTTCGGATTATTGCTTACTTTATCTGCTTTAGTGTACTTAGGATATTGTTATGTCAAATTTGCTAAAAGCAAGACCCATGTATATTTTAAACTATCACATTGCCATGGGCGTTTTTTTCTGTCCATTGTTTGAAGGTATACAGACAAAGCTAGTATGATTCTTTTTGAAGGTATTAAGACAAAAATAACAAGTCTATGCAGTGTAAACGGGGGTCAATAACTATAAAATGATGTGAACCAAGAGAATGTTCTTGCAAACTTAGGTCCGTCAGGTTATTTTCATTATAGCAAATGCCAGGTTATATATATATATATATATATATGTAAAGGAATTTTTTAATTTATTTATTTGAAAGAGACAGAGAACATGAGCAGGGGGAGGGGCAGAGGGAGAAGCAGACTCCCCGCTGAGCAGGGAGTCCAACAAGGGACTCGACCCCAGGACCCTGGGATCATGACCTGAGCTGTAGGCAGACGCTCAACCGACTGAGCCATCCAGGTGCCCCACAAATACTAGCTTTTGCTGGACAGCCTTTTTTGATAATTCTCAGTATTTTTTTTTTCTTCAAGGCACCCCCCCTTCCTAGAAGAAACCCAATTTCAATGGTCCCAAGCAGTGTAATTTTTGTTTGTTCTTTTGCAGGAACAAATCAAAAAACTGCTGTTTTATCACCCTCAGGAGCTACAGGTTACAAAGAGAAAAGTGGCATAAAGTAGGGCAGAGGGCAGTGAGTCTGGGCAAGACTTGTTTGGTCTGAGGACAGATAAGGCAAGCATTCAACATTTCTCAAGATGCAGGGAGCGTGAGGTAATTGGGCAGCGGGGGCAACAGAAAGAATGCAGAATCTGGGTGCCCTGGCTTTGAGGCTCAGATCTGCCTCCTGCCAACTTTGAGGCCAAACCAATCTCCTTAACCTATAAGAGCTCAGGCTCCTTGTTTTTAAATGATGGTTATAATGTCCCCACCTCCTCCCTGTATAAATGGAAGGTCTTCCTTACTCAACTCGGATTTCATACCATGAGGTGGTTGCAGGATTAAAAGAAACACTCAGCCTTTTGGTAAATCCATGAGCAACAACTAGTGCTGGAGAATTCTGGAGAAGGAGGCTTCCCTAATTTATGATCTGGTCTGCTGAGAAGGTTGGATGAATGTTGGTCACCAAGGAGCTGAGCGTGAAGGAGCCTCATTATGCCTCAAGGAACAAAGTTAAGCCAAGAATTCAGTTTATTCTGCCATGAAGGAAGGAAGGGCATTTCATATTTCACAGGATCCAATCCTCTAAAAAATCCCAGTAAGAGGATGATGTCAGAGCATCAGTTATGACCACACCACCGGCACCCCCGTGGATGTTAATATGCAAAGTATAGCACTATGGTGTTTTCTGTACATCACGCCCTATTCGAAGGGCCTTGTATGTATTGACTGACTTAATCTTCAAGACAAGACTATGAAAAGATTTTACTATTATGATCATCATTATCCTTCTTTTATTCCCATCAGGAAACAAAGGCAACCAAAGGATAAGGAACAGGGCCCTAGGTCACATGG